GGGACCCCCCCACGCTTCCTCCCCAGGGTGACGCTTTTTGAACAGCCCTGTGGGTGTCAGCTCAGCCCTGTCTCCCTGCAGACCCCTCTGTGCCCGAGGGCAGCGGGTCAGGAAGGGGACGGGAGGACTTCGGGTGGGTGCTGGGGAGGGGGTTGTTCTCCCCCCACGCAGGACCTGTCGGTGGAGGAGGGAGAGGTGTTGTGTGCGGGACTTGCTTGAGCTGGGTGAGAGGGCAGCTGAGCATCCAGCATCCCCCACAGAGCTCAGCGGTGTTTGCAGATGCACAGTGCTTGGGCGTGCTTGGCCTCTGCTGTCCCTGTGTCCCTTCTCGTGAAGAGCCAGCTCTATAAACAGATAAATCCTGTAAACAATTCATCTCCCCGCGGGGTGCTGTGAGCCCTGGAGTCCCGCTGGTCACAGGGCATCAGCTGGGCCCTGCGTGCCGGGTCGAGCCGTGGGTCCGGGGATGGTATTTCCATCCTGCCTGAACACAGAGCTGCTTCGCGGAGCATCGTGCCTCTTCCTCCCGAGGCGGGGGGGGGTTGTTTACAAAGCGACAGCCTGTGTCTCAAACAGCTCAGAAATTCATCCGGGGATGAGAGTCATTCATTTTTTGGCTTCATTTTCAAGCATTTTTCAAGCTGTCACAGCTTGGCAGGTCTGTAGCTGCAATGTCAAGATTTAGAATTATTCTGTCGGTAATTGCTTTCTGATTCATCAAAATGATAGATGAGAGAGAAAATGACAAATAATCACAAGTTGGGGATCTTCAAGGATATCCCTAAAAATGTGACTGGAGAAGCATGGCATGTGCGAGTCTCTTGTCAGGAGGTCACCTTTGCTGTCAGAGCATTTACAAAGAAATTCTCTTAAATTCAGAGTTGGGAAAAAAACCTGGAGAACGAGCCCATGAGCCAAACTGTAAAGGTAGTTTTAGATAATTCAGTCTTTGGCCTTTTTTGCTGAGCCTGAGAGCAGGTGTTGTCACCTCAGGTACTAGGAACCATCCTTTCCAAGAGTGCTAAAAGCAAAATACAGCTCCTGCACTTAACTTCCCTACCTGAAAGGGGGGGGGGGGGTGTGCTCTGATGCATGTTTTCTTCCCTCAGCTATACCAGCTTGTCTAATAAAAGCTATTACCGCTCTCTCCTACTCACAGCCTCAGACTAGCACAGCTACCAGTGATCTCTTACTTGTCTTGTTCCCTTAGTTACATTTACAGAGACTTTCTTTGCCACAAGTCCCTTCATTCTCTGAAGCTTTGTGGGAGTTGTGTGGTTACATCTCTTACATTTTTTTTTTCCTTTCCTTTAAATGTTGAAGGTAGGTGACTCATCATAACTCCAGCTGATATTTCTCAGTGATCTCTTATTTAGCACAGTGCATCAAGCAGAAGATGTGTCGCAGTCAGAGGAGAGCTGGTGATACCAGCATGGATTTAAGAATAAAAACCAAACAAACAAAGCCCCAGCGTGGCAGTTGCTTGTTGTGCTGTTGGCTTTTGTTTTGGTGGTAAAAAGGTTTTCAGGCTGTCTCTCCAAAACCAGAGTGACCCTGCATAGGCTGATGTACGGGAGCTGCGGGCCTTTCCAGTGCTCCTCCCCATCGTCCTGCCAAACTGCCTGCCTGTCTGTGTCAGTGCTTTTCTGCTGATAAGGGAGTGTTCCCCACCTCGATGGACTCCCTTTGTGGGGGCAATTCTCAGCAGCTGGGTGTGAGGTGAGGCCCATCTCTCTGGGCAGAGGGCAAAGAGACTGCTTGGAGCAAAAGATAAAATAATGGAGAAAGTATAATGAGGATATTCCAACAAGAGCCGAGTTCAGCTCAGCTGGAGCAGAACAGCTTTATTTTGCAAGATCCGATGCTTTTCCAAAAGCAGCGCTTGTTTTTATTTCCCCTTCCTAAACAGAGGAACATTTGGGGGCTGCAGTGGTCGTTGCAGTCGCTCCTGGAGCTCTGCATGCCATTTGTACAATATTCTGTCTTCAGAGAGCTCAGCAAAACCTTCAGTGCAAACCATGACTCACCAGGATAATCATCTTTTGTCTCTAGGCATGTGTGTGCATGTGTTTGCAGAGGAAGGGAGGCAGAGAGGCTCGGGGGGCTCTGAAGGCTGGTGATAGTAGGGAGGGAATGTGTGTGTGTGTTCCTCTCTCAGGCTCACCTTGCTGCCTGGGACTGTAGATGGAGCAGTGCACTGCTGTTCTTAGCGCTGCTGGGGATTTTGAACTTCTTCCTCATTAGTATTTCTACACACAGCAGCTGTTTGCAATTTTGTGGTGTTACAGAGGAGGATTTGGCTCTATATTGGGTAATGTAGGGTCTTTGTTGCATCTTCTCTTACTCTTATTTTAGATCTAAGCAGGACATTTGAGCTATTTCAGTGATCTTGATGGAAGGCAGAATGATCCTCTGGAAGGACACTGGTCTGGGAACCGGCCAACTTGACTTGCATTTCCAGCTCTGCCGTTCTCTGGTGTGTAACGAGGGTGTCCACCACTGAGGGGCTTGTCGCTTAACTGCTCTGCACATGTTTAACTCTAACTTAAACAGAGCTGATGGTGCTCAGCCTGCTTTGTAAGGCTCTTTGAGATCACAGTTCAGGAAACACCAAATGTTGTTGTGGAGTTATTCACCGAATGGCAAATGCAGACAGGAGAGGGTGGTTTAACTGTGTGTGCCGTCCCGCTGCTCCTCTTCACCGAGATCTCTTCCTGATCCTCTCGTCTGAGTCCTTTCTGATCAAAGCAGCTAACGCTTGCTGTGCATCTCTCTCCAACAGTCTATGGGCTGGCAAGGAAAGGAGATGCTGAAGTGCTGGCTTGCATTGTGTGGGCACCTGCCCTCGATTGTGCTGTTCATAGAGCACTCAGGTTCGCACTAATAACGCTCAGCAGGTTCCTCCCTGCTTGTCAAGTGCCTTCTGTAATACGAATGGTTTGGGCATGTCTATGCAGAGGGCTTCCGGAGGCTGATGCTCATTGTGAAATCCAGGCTGCCAGATAAACCTGTTGTCTTGTTTCCAGCCTGCCTGCTGCCACTGCCTGCCTTTTCCGTGTTTGTAGTGCTGGTGTGGCCTTCCACCGAGCTGCTGTGCTGAGGGCAGAGCAGCAGCCTTTGAGGAACGTGCCTTTCCCCCGTGTTTTGTTGAATATAAAAGCTGACAAATGGCTCTGCTGCTGTGGCTTCTTGTTCTGGCACGCACGTTTCAGCTTGATCTGCTGCCACAGCCTGGTTTGTTCTGCACCAGGATGGTGAAGGTGTGGGGCTGTGTGAGGAGGGGAAATGTGGGGTTGTGTTGGAGGGTGGGAGACCTGCTGTGAAGCGATGCTTTGGAGCAGTTTGCTGAGGAGCTTTAACAGGAGAAGCTAAAGGGGAAGCCTCATTGCTTTGCAGCAAGGGCATTCAGAGTGGCTTTGGTCTGTGTTGCTGTTCCCCTGAAACTCCTCTTTAGCAATCAGCCATAATAAAGTGTTCTTAACTAGATGAGTGGTGACTAGTACATGTGGCTCCCAGTAACGCTAAATCCACCACGCTTTGCAAGAAGGTTCTAATGCCTGGGGTGTTTTACCTAAAAATAGCAGAAAAAGCATGGCTGTTGGGGGGAAATCTAAATCAGAAGGAAACAAATGGCTTTTAATCTTTCCCTCTGTTTCAGAGTGAAGGATGCCGAGGAAGAAGAAGCCCACAGAGGGCCCAGACTCTCGAGGTCAGGCTGGGGAGGAAGAGGAGGAAGATAAGAGGAACCCAGGCAACGCCAAGAAGAAGCGCAGTTTTGTGGATGCATTTATTGTTATATCTGACAGCGATGGAGAGGTCAGTGATCAGCCTGTGGTGTCCAGAGCCGGTGCTGGGCCCTGCTGCTGCAGGAGAGTGCCCCAGCACCCCACGCTGTGTGTGCTGGGGTCAGGCTGTGCGCAGGGGACATTGTGTCGTTCCTGTTCTTACACACGAGATGAATCAAATCCTATTTGACTAGGAAATGAATGGTGTGCTTCGTGAGGGTGAGTTATGAGTCTGGGATTTGATAACCAAATCCTCTCAGAACTGAATTTGAAACGTAATTTAAAAGTAACCTTTCCTCAATCCCTTTACAAATCTTTTTTTCATAATTTTTATTTGATTGATTTCCAGCTAAACCATAGAAACATGGTTCTGTATTATGTGCAAATAGATAAGAAAATGATTCAGAACACAGGCTTGTGAGTAGCTCAGACACAGCTGGTGTCTGGTAAACTGATCCTGAGTTACAGAAGGCTGAGTTTTTAACCCAGTTCCCCAGGGTGTAAAGGTGAACTGCCGTGTGGGTGTGCCTGGCTGAGACACAAAGGCTCAGATCAGTGATCCCCAGCGTCCTCTCACAAACATCAGCCTTCCCCTAAAAGACTGACATGTCTGTGTCTGTTACACTGGTGTTGGGATGAGTGCAGGAGCTCCTGCCTGGGGGAAACCCAAGAGCCCTGACAATCTGTCCTCAACTTGAGGTACACAGAGGAAATTATTAGAATCAATTCTTTATGTATGACTGTTAAGGCTTTGCTCTGTCTTGCTGGTGATTGGGGATCCTAAGCTGCTTTTTGTAATTCCACCATTTTCAAAAGCATTTCAGTTCTCTCTCAAGCTGTAGATCTTAAATCAAGTCCCTTTTGCTCCCACATCTGCAGCGTGCTTCTTTACAATAAGGCGATTATCATGTGAGGAGGGGAAAAGCACTAGAAATAAACAGTAAGAAGCTGTAGGGCAAATGATAGTGGATGTTTTTTCTTCACATTGTCTGAGTTCTTTCCCATTGGGAAATTCCCTGAAAGAAATGGAACATATGGCAGTAATAGTTCAGTGGGGTTAAACCCTTAGCTCTGCAATATGCTAAGTTAACTTCAGATGTCTGCTGCATCACTGGCCTTTATTGTGAAACCTATAAGGAAAAAAGAAATCAGCAGCTCTAAGAGCTGCTGCAGTACATAAAAGATCAGGACCTGTTATTGTCTGCAATTATTCATCTCAATGTGCACGTATCTGAAAAAGGGGAAACAAACGTCTCTTAAAACACATCTATAAAAAGGTTAGGCTCCCTGACTGTTCTGTAAGTTTGTCTATAAACAATAAATTCTGATGGCATAATCGGTCATATTACAGAAAAGGATATGCTCAGAGAGGCCGTTAAAGAGCCAATTAAGTTCTGTTTAAGTGACAACAGTTCAGTCAGTTGAATGAGTGGATTTATTCAGTTCAGTCTCTTTCTGTGAGTCATCAGCTTCCAGATCCAGTGCCACAGTCTCTTGTCGTGTTGTTTTCTGCAAAATCAAACCCAAAAATGTGATTTACTTGGGATCTCAAAAAAATAACTGTCTGGCTTCTGTAACTGTCTCAGCTCTTCAGTGTACATCAAGTTGAATTTCAATTTTGAACCTTGTAACTGTTGTTCTTGCTCTAGTAAGACCTTGTTATGTGTTCAAGAAGAGGTGTGGGAAGCTCAGATCAATAGCAATTTTAGAGAACAATACATTCTCAATTAATCTTGCATCTGTTAGGACATGGTTCCTTATGAATCAAAAGCTACAAGGACAATTTGGGCATCATTGATTCAATGGCTTTCTTCCTTGGCAGTCTCTTGGCAGGTATCTATAGAACAAGTCCCTAGTTCTGCTTCCAGACCAGCAGATCTTGTAGCAGCTGCACCTGGAAAGCCTCCAGCTTCTCACTTTTGATGGTCTTTGGCAGACTGCCTCTCCCAGGAATTTTTCAGTCATGCTGGATTATCAAGCTCATCCATGTTATTTTGCCAAGTTTTCTTTTTCTTTGCTCATGTCTGTGCTGTGGCATCTGCAGAGCTGCATCAGAAGGAAGTTTTCTGGACGTGGGCCTTTCTGATCTCTGCTATATATAATCCTGGATTCAGGAAACACTTCTCTTTTTTGGGAAGGGTCAGACAAAAATAAGAACAGTCTTTCTGGCTTTGTGGGAACAAGAGGAGATGACCTTCTTTGTGCAGACTGTATCTCTGAAAATGCAGACATGATGAATGAGCAAAGTGGTTCCTGTCTCCCCTGACTGTTTAAATCCTGTGGGGAACTGGTTGCCCGTGCCAGAAGATCAGTGATCATTCACCAATACACAATATTTTGAAGAGTGACCATCTCCAAGCATAGCAACTCCTGGTCTGTCTCATGAGCCTCCTTCTTGTATCGGGTTGTTGATAAAGACTCTTTGACCCCTAAGGTTTTCTGAAGCCACATTTGAAAGATGATTGCCACCCGGGAGGAGGCCTGGCCAAGTGAGAGCATTGAGCACAGCCAGAGGCCCAGGAGCTGTGCTAACCTGTTTGACTGATCTGCAGCCTTCAGTGCAGTTGATCCCAAAATGCTGCTGATCTGCTGTGGGACCTTTCAGAAGGGTCCATGTTTTCTGGGTACATCCTGGGAACTGTGTCCAGTTCTGGGCCCCTCACTACAAGAAGGACATTGAGGCACTGGAGCGTGTCCAGAGAAGGGCAACAAAGCTGGTGAAGGGGCTGGAAGACCAGTCCCAGTGATGAGTGGCTGAGGGAACTGGGGTTGTTTAGCCTGGAGAAGAGGAGGCTGAGGGGAGACCTAATTGCTGTCTACAACTGCCTGAAAGGGGGTTGTAGTGAGGCAGGTGTGGGTCTTTTCTCCCAGGTAAATAGTGACAGAACAAGAGGCAACGGCCTCGAGTTACGCCAGGGGAGGTTCAGATTGGATGTCAGGAAGTACTTCTTCACTGAAAGGGTTCTCAGGCACTGGAATGGGCTGCCCAGGGAGGTGGTTGAGGTAAACCAAGTGATTCTCTGATTCTGTGATCCTTTGGGAGGTCTGAGAGTACCTGCCTCCAGTTGTAGACTTTGCATGAAGTCTCACAGGCTCTTTCTACCAGATTCATCAGCTCTGCCAGCCCTTGGGGAACATGACAAGACTCTGGGATGATGGTGCTGTCTGTTTCTGCATGGCATCCAGGACCTGGTTTCCCTTTGGTATGGAACAACCCTTTGCCTGAGTATCCCTGTGTTTGGAGATGCTCACAGTCTGGGTAAATAGCAGCGTGTGCTGATGTTCCAGATCAGATGTTGGTTTTGGTAGGAAGAGGGACGTGTTTGGGCATCGGCTGGGAGGCCCGGCCACCACCCTGTCCTGTTATCCATCAGCTGTGGCAATGGGCACTTATCTTGGGACCATGCATAGCCTGAGGGACATCTTGCTACGGAGAAGATGGTGCTGGAAACGTCACAGCTTGGATGGCAGCGCCCACCTCACAGCACTGACCGTCTGAGCGAAGCAGAGCCACGTGGGTGCCGCTGCAGCACCCTGCTGTCCCCAGGGCTCTGCTGTGCTACCGAGGGACCTGGCGCCTCCATTTCCCAGAGGAGAAGGCAGTGGGAGTCTGTTCCCAAGGAGGCTCAGCAGCTCTGCTGCGCTCACTCCTGGGAAATCAGATTGCCCTGAATCCAGGCTCCTCACAGCCCAGTAAAAGCCCTTTTTCTGCAGTGGCCTCCTTCCCATGTGACAGAAACTGCAGGTCTGGCATGAGCCCTGTTGTGTCTTGTTGTTCAGGTCTTCACTTCCAGCAGGTTTGTTCTAATGAGCTGAAAGAGCAGAGCTGAGACAGATTCTGAACTGAAGTCAGAGACTAATAAAGGAGGGTGTGATACTGATTTCTGCAGCAGCCTTGGCTAGAGCCAAACGTGGCACTTCCAACATCTAATTGGTTTTTAAAAATGAATTAGTCTGGTTTTCATCTGTGTATTTCCCATGCAAGGACGTGTGGTGTTTGGCTGTGCCCTGTTGTTAGATGGTCCCAACTGCCGTTGAGCAGTAGAATTACCCAGACCTTTTGACTTTGCAGTCGGCTGTTAGCTGTGGAGACATTCATCTGCAGCCTTCCCTTCCCTGAGTCAGTAGAAGCTGATTTCTGTGGTTTGTGATGTGGATTAGGGGGATCAGGATGTGGGAGGCTGGCTACTGGCTTCCATTTACGGGCTTTTAGAAGCGAGTGGGGCTGTATCTGTTTCTGCTGGCAGAATCAGGTTCTCTTAAGTATGTGCAAAAGCATTTTTTAAAATGGGAATTTGATTTCCTGCTGTTTGGTGAAGCCAAGCAGGTTAAAAAAAACAAGGAAGAAGAATAGTGGCTGCCTTTCACTAAATATGTAGGCAACTTTGGAAACCCGTCTTTTTCTTGATCTGTGTACAATGCTGACAGTGAAATTGCTCATAGGAGAGCATCATAAATTAAACTGCAGAGCCTGACACACAGGAAGAGAATTTGGATTCCTTCTGGCCATTATGCTTTAAATTGCCAGCGAAGGAGGAGGGATGCTATCCAGGCTGGCACCGAGCAGAGGTGCGCGGTTCCCACCTCGCCTCCGCTATAATTAGTTTCCCGTGGAAGTTGTGTGTTGGAGATGACCTTGTAACTAAGAGTATTGGCTGCGGTTTGGGAATATTTTAATTGATTAAGATTATTTTTGGACTAGTGATCTTATTAGAAAGGCAGTTGGTTGAGTGGCCCCCTGAGTTCCTATTATCCTTGTAGACAGATGAGCATTAAAAGGTTGGGTCAGAAAGAGCAAGCCCTGTTGTCTTCTCTGGATTTTCTTGGCCCCTTCTGTTTCTGCCATCCATGCCTGCATTTATGCAGAGCACTCCAGGGCCTGCGGGGCTCTCGCCCAGCAGAAGTACAAACAGCCATAAATCCTAATTAAAAGGTATGTTTTATTTTCTGGGTTTAAAAATAAAGAAGATTTAAGAATTCTTGGGATTGAGATGTGTGTGTATGTTTTGGCCCATCAGGATTAATTGGATTTGCTTCAGCGGTTCGCTGTACCATGACTGTTCGGTAGAACGCTGCTGAGCAATTTAAACATCTTTCTCAAATGTATGAGGTTCTTGCAACACGTGTCCTGCAATAATTTTGCTCCTGCCAGTGTTGTAAATGTCGAGATTCTTCAGGACCCAGCATGGGGAACCGAGGCACGTACTCGGCTGCGCGGTGAAACCGGGCACCCTGCCCGGCACCGGGCGTGCCATTCCCCTCCAGAGCCCTGGAGGTGTTTGAGCCCTGTCTTCTCCTGAGCTGCACATCGTCAGCCTGTGTGTCTGTGCACAGAGCAGACACTGGCAGCCGTGGAAAGTTTGGTGTGCTCATAAATCACATCCGTGCCCTGGAAGAGAGCTGCCTCTGAGAGTGTCAGGGTTGACCTTCCTGCAAGTGCAAGAGTGATGAGGGGAGATTGATGCCTAGAGAGAAGAGCTGGGGATTTACAGAGCCTGCTAGGATTAAATTGCCCCTGTTTTAAGCTGGAGTGTGTTTAGCACCGTTAGACAGGGCTTTGGGGGAGAGCAGGAGAACTGTTGCTTAACCTCCTCCAGCATATAATCCTGGTGTGATCCTGGTGTGATCCCACAGACCGTTCCCACTCCCTTAGATGTCAGCTGCCCGCAAAGTCAGCATGGGGCTGCTGCTGCAGACCAAAGCAATTCGGAGTAGGAGAACCAGTAGCTTATGGAAGACTGGAAAAGAGTGACATGCCAGGTCCCTGGAAGGGAGAGGATTTCACCTGCTGAGCATGAGCTGGGAATCCATCTTCTAGCAGGAGAGAATCAGGGTGTGAAGCAGCCTTTTGGAGACACAGCAGCAGATCTTAGAAGCAGGGTACCACAACCAGGCTGGGTAGGGAAGAGATGGAATCAATCAAAGGAAAAAAACCTCTAAGTGTGAACGTGAGTGTGTGTGTGGACTTGCTGAGCATGACTGCTGCCTTGTTGTGAGCTGATTCTTAAATCAGTGGAAGCGAGGAATGGCGTAGGTATTAGGGCATGTAAAAGCTGTAATGTATTAGGGTTTCAGGAAAGTGCTTAATATTATGTCTTGCAAAATCTTAGTTGGATAAATAATTCAATTTGGTCTAGATACTAAGATTCCTGGTTTGAGACCCTGCTAAAAGACTGTCAGCAGAAGCTGGTGATGAACAGAAGAGAGGCTCATTTGGGGGAGATGTAAAGCTGAGGTCAAGAGGATCAATATTAGGTCTGTGTGTGTTTTAACATCCTCGTTAATGATCAGTAAGAGGGAGCAAGTGGTCTATATACATTAGTAAAACCTACAGATAACACTAAGGCTCGAGATGTCTTGAACAAAACTCAGTATAGAGGTGCAATTCAAAGGACTTCACAGGTTCAGAAACGTGGGCAAGGGACAGCAGAAATCGATTACACTTGAAAATCAGCAGCGTATCCATTTGCATTAAAGTAGCCCAAGCCACGTGCCCCACCTTGAAGCCCCGCTCCTGGCATGGGGGGTGGTGTGAGGGTCAAGCTTGGGGCCAGTTTGTGGTGATTCTCATGGACAGCAAAAACAACTGGAGCTGCAGACAGAGCCTGATGAAGCCCCATCCTGGCCAGGCATGGGTCTCTGCCTGAAATACTGGGTTTGATTCTAATCCTACCTGATTTAGAGAGACAGATTGGAAGGGATCCAGTGCCAGCCTTGGGTAATGTGTGTGCCCTCGCTTAAGCTGTTAGGACAGCAACTTGCATACATGTGTGCCAATTAAGCCTGTGACCATTCTTATTGCAGCCCGTGTGCTTAGAGCAGCATGCACGTAGGTTGTTCATGTGGATAATTTTCCAGGAGGCCTCGAGACGACAAATTTCTGAAGTATTCAGGCTTCAAAAATGACACACTTGTGGCAATACAATGAGAGAATAGCACCAGGAGTAAATACAGCTGGCTCTCCTGCCCTCAGGGTGCGTTAGCGTGGGTTCCCCAGAATGGCTGGGATTCTGGTCTTGGTCACCTGAAATTGTCTGGTCAGAGTGAGTGCTAGAAGCTGCACGGCAGGAAACAGTCCTGGCTTCTAGGTGTGCGGTGTTCAGTTATAAAAAGGTTTTGTTTTTCTGTTTTGAGTGCTTACAAATACCAGTGTTTTAGCGAGGCCAAACAAATTCTCTCTGCAATCAAGGGCAGCAGGTGCAATACATGGTGGTGACTGGCATGAAGTCTATTGTCTGTCCTACTTCTCTGTTTATGTCAATCTGTAACTCTTTTTGCTCGTTATGCTTATCACACAGCTTTTAATAGTTACAGAATGTGTTCGAATTATGTTTGAAATTCAAATTTCACACAAATAGAGGCTTGTTCTTGAACCAGTGTTTGTGTCTGAGCAGTGAGGGGGGAGGGGACTGGTAGTATTTCTTACATATTGTGTGCACTCACCATATTTTTTTGCATTACAGCAGGAGTCAAAGGAAGAGAGTGGATTGCAAAAGAAGAAAACAAAACAGCAGCTGGATAGAACGAAGTTTGCTGCTAAAAGGAAAATTGCACGTAGGTCTCAAGTGTGGGGCTGGGGAAGTAGGCTGGTGCCGAGCAGCTTCTGCTGTTTGTTTTAGAGATTATTTCCCTGTCATAAAGGCTGTGATGTGGCTGGGGATGCACAGCTCTCGGAGAAGACCCTTCTCAGGGGTAAAATTTGCCTTTCTGAATAGGCAGACTGTCACTTGCTTCCTCCCCAGGTGGCGTGTGTGCAGACTGGTACACTTCCAAAATAAGTGTGCGAGGGTGTTGGTACCTCACCGGGTTTCAAAACTGGTTGAAGCTGATCTGAAAGCACTGTCAGTCACAAACTGCTTCCCTGTTCAGGCCCCTCTGCTGCTATCTTTCCCTGGAACGTCGTGATGCTCTGACCTGGCAGTCGCAGCTCCGGGAAAAGCTGAGTCGCAGCTGACAGTTCTCATCGGCTCGTAGCGCAGGGGCAGCCGGAGAAGCCAGCAGCGTTGGGCATCATCAGGAAGGGTGTTAAGAACAAGAGATTTGTTTTACGTCATTTTGGTGTTATATAAAGTGTTGGTGCACCCACATCGACAGTGCTGTGTGCAGTTCTGGTCTCCTCATCTCCAGGATGAGGTGGTACATCCGGAGACAGGCTGCCCGAGCCATGAAGGGGATGGAGCAGCTGTCTTTTCAGGAGAGACTGGGAAGCCCGGGGCTGCTCTGTTAGGAGAGGAATGTGGGATCAAAGTTCACATCAAGAAGGCAGTGCCTGAGCTGAAGACAGAGCTGTTGTTTACCAGCTCCTACAGCCAGGGTGCAGTCAGTGGAAAGAGCAGGAGATAGATGGGTTTAAAACAGGGTGAAGGAGAGCGATGCTTCACACAGCATGTGGTGGATTCCTGGAAGTTTTTGTCACAAGGAGGTTGTGGAGGGGTCAGTATCAGCAGCTTTGAGAAGGGATTAAATGCATTCATGGACAATAGGTCTACAAACAGATACTAAAGGGAACAGGCTGGGATGTTCCTGCTCATCTTCTGCAAACAGCATTTCTGAATGCTGGGGATGTACAAGCAGAAGGGACCACAGAGCGTGGCCAGGCTTGCCTGTGCTCACCGTACAGCACCACTTGTTCCAGCAGCCAGGCAGCTGGACCATTGCTCTGCCCCAGCAGGTCTGTGCTTATGTTTGTGTGCTCCCCAAGGCACCGGTCCATCTAGTGTGTTAAATTCAGAGTGCTTTAAAACAGGAGAGATGTTGTCTCCTGCAAAACCCAAAGCAATCACTGAACAAAATGGAGCACGTCAGTGCTCTGCAAGCAGCAGCAGTTGGGCTTGTCAGTCCTCAGAGGGCTTGTGTGAATTAAATTGTTTTTAATAGAGGCCTAAGGCCATAGCATGAAACAGCCTGGCTCTTTATGGGAGTTGAAACCCACTGTGTGTGTCCTGTGTCAAACAAGTAAGATAACAAAGTCAGAGATGGGAGAAAAGTTCTTTTTTTATTTTTTTTTTTTTCTCCCCAAAAGAATACCAAATAAAAGCTAAAAGCCCCCTTGGAGATGTTGTTAAAATGTGACCCAACATATGGTGCTAAGAACAGGGAGGTGCTGAGGTTGGATGTCCTCGTTACATGGTTGAGCGCGCTGGTGCTGTGCGAAAGGTGTTGGTGTGCTCCAGAAAATCCCTGGGAGAGAGGGCCGGCTCTCTATCCATTGTATAATGGAGGAGTTTTGCTGCATTTCTAGATGTTGAAATTCTTGACAATAGTTTTTCTCTTCCTGGGCCAAAAGCTGCCCTTTTTGTTTTTTTTCTGGTGTGCACATCTGCCTCTTCAAAGCGCAGGAGGTTGGGGGTGCCTGGCACCGCTTGGTTGGAGAGCGGACGCTTGTTTAAGCACTTGTGATGGTGAGTCTGTTCTCTCATTTATGGGAAGCTGTAATCAGAATTTGGTGTTTGCTTTTGGGCAAATTAAGATTTGAAGTAGTAATTATTTTTCTCAGTGTCTTTAAATAAATTCTTTGAATTACAAGGCAAATTGGTCTTTTGTAAAGATGCAGTGGTGCTTCTGGGTAGAGCAAGTTCTTTCTCCTCAAAACTGGGAAATTTCAGATATTTGCAGGCTCTGGTTCTAAAGCATATCCTCCCTTTTTTACTCTGTTGTGGTTTTATTAATTTTAACCTAAAGCCATAACTAAAATATATCTGTGACATTTCCTCCTGACAGGATAAATGGAAACACAAAACCTAAAGAAATCTCTCTCTTTTTCCAGAGGAAGTCGGTGCTTTAAAGCACAGTTGAATGTTTTTACTGTAATTGCACTTTGGAAATACTGAGATCCCGCATTTCCATTATTTTTGAGTAAATCTCTTATTAGTAAGTGTTAGAACTACAACTAGCGGAGTTTTGCATCTAATTCACTTTGCAAATGTCAAAATGGAACATAAATCGCTTAGCAAATTGCTGTATTAGCATTTAAAAAGGCTCTGAAACGGTTTAATTTGTTTAGGGCTGTGATGTCTTAAAAACAGTTTCTCCCTGACCCCTCCTTCCCATCTGTGGGTTTCTTGGATGCCCTGGTCCCTGGAGAGGCGCTGGGATTGCTGCTGCCTTGAGATGGACGCGTGGCAAGTGGATTTTGGAGTGTGAGATGCGGAATTCCCAGCAGGAGCAGTGGGGATGTGTGTGAGCTGAGTGTAACGGAGAGGGGATGTTCCTCCCAGGGGCTGTGGGAGCCCCTGCCCCGCTGGCATGATCCAGGAGCACAGCTCACCTCTGTCCCGGAGCTCCCCAGAGGTCTGTCTGTGTGCACACACCGGTCAGGGACTAACGCATCATCGTAAATTATGACCAGTGCAATCAACATCAGGTTTAGTAAAATGCATGGTGTGAGAAATGATCAGACATGGAGCACAAAATACTGTCAGCTCCAGACCACTCAGCTTAAAGCAGGTCAGGTCTCCTGGAAGACACAAGTGGAGCTGCTCTCTGCGCTCCTCACCGCAATGCCAGGTGGATTTAAACTCGAGATTTCCCAGTCTCTGGAGCACCTACTCATCTGGAACGTGCACTAAGTGCATTTTGTTTGTCGCTGGTTTCCTTGCCAGAGGCAGCATTTGTCTGGCACATTCCCTGTCCCCAGAGGGGAAATTGCTGTGCCAGGGAGGGAGAAGAAAACAAAATGTATGGTAGTAACTCGCCAAAAAATGTTTCCTTTTATTAAGCTTCACAAATGTTGATAGCCTGAACTGGTGAACTCTCAGGCCCCCGTTTTAATTTGAGCACGTGGGAGGTCTCGTGTCGAGGGGCACTGGCCACGTGCATCGGTTTCTTGCACATGTCAGAGTTTGCAGGATTGCTGCGATGCACTGGGCAGGGAAACAAACCAGCGTGCACTTACTGAGTGCTCGGGAGGTGTTTGGTATTGGGGAAACGCTGCGTGTTGCTGCTGTTCTTGGGGATGGGAGCCTTCTTCATACGCTGGACTGTCGTGTGCTTTCCAGTAAAGGACACATTTCTTTTTTTTTCCCCTTGTCCCTCCTGGCTGTAACATCATAGAGTGACTTTATCCAAGGACAAAAGATCCCCACGAGCCTTGAGTGCACTGCAGTCTGCATTCACTTCAAGCTCTTTCTTAATTTTTAAAGAAATTTAAAAAAAGAAAACAAAACAAAACCCCAACAAAAACCAACCTAAAGCTAAGTGCTGATTTAGTAGGACAGGTAAAGGAATCTATGGCTGGTAATCAGAACAGTCCAAAAATGCTTCAAATCCTGCTTGAGTGGGGGAGAACCAGCCTGCCATTAGCAATGGGCTGGGGGAAGGGCAAAGCAAAGCCAAGCCTGCTGCCTGGGGATGCACCTCAGCGCCATCCCAGTGCCATCCCAGTGCCATCCCAGGCTGCTTCAGGGGAGGCTGCGCTGCTGTATTTTGGTGGCAGCTGGTAGGAAGAGGATGGGTTAGAAAATGGGAGCCTGCAACTTCTGAATGCATCTTTATCCAGGGAAACGTCTGTCTCTGAAACTGGCTGCAGTGAAGCATGTTTTGTGCTTGGGCAGTCTTCCTGTTCAGATCGCGTCTCTTAAAGCTCTTCTGGCCCATCAGAGAGCAAGCCTCTCGGTTCATGCATGAGATGGCGCGTGCAGGATTCTGCCTGAAGGAGGGAGCGGGTTTTGAAGGAAATCTGTCAATTTATTTTGAGCGAGAAGATGTATTTTTCAGCTCCTGAGAGTGCTGTTGAGTTGCTTTCCAAGCTGCCCTCCATTCTGCAGGCATTGTATATTTTAAGCGCAGTGAAAGTGTTGGCTTGAGTCTAAGTAAATAAGTGTTTTACAGAGTAACTAACTGCTTTGTTTCTAAATAGCCAGTCTCAGCTTCTGGTTTGCTCTGAGTGAGGAATATTTCAGGAAGAAATTTTCTGCTGAAATAGCGGTTACAACTGTAGGAAACCTGTTTCCCATGCATGACTGACTTAGTGATGCAGTGGAATGGTGATGTGAGCAGAAGAGGGATGTATGCATGCAAAAGATCCTCCATAATACCACCAAGCAAGTAACATTATCCTCCACAGAGCTTTCTACCTGTGGCTCGGGGTGAAAAACATGTAGCTGTTTTGTTCTTGAGTAGGTCTCCCGTGGTATTGCAGGTATCTGCTGTCAGATGGCAGCGAGACGTGCTACTTGGCTAGTAAAAAAGCATATTAAAGACAGTGTTTTCTTTATCCTGCCTTGCTGCTGAGCCTATCCAAAATAAAAATGAACACCCTTTAGAAATCTGCCCTTTTCCTCTCTCCTGGAATGTGCATTCTGGAGCTGTAGAGTGTGTTGTGTGATGAGGTCAAAACAGATGTCCCGTTGTAGTTATGTACCCAGGGAGTCAGAGTTCAGATTGCTGTAGAAGCCTTAACTGAAGTTCCTGACTTGGGTTACCTTTTGCATTTGGTGTTGCCTGCTCCAGTGTTGGTTTTCAGGGAAGCTGAGGTTTAGATGTTTTGCTCTGCATTCCTTCTGGGGAGGTGGAACCCTGGGTCATCTCTCCCAACATGTTTGATATATGTTGGGTGTTTACATACACCCGCAGCTGTGACTTGACATTATTCTTTTTCTTGTGCTGTAGAGATGACTGAAGAGGAACAATTTGCACTGGCCCTGAAAATGAGTGAGCAAGAAGCCCGACAAGTGAACTGTCAGGAAGAGGAAGAGGAGGAGCTCTTGAGGAAGGCCATTGCTGAGAGCCTTAATGTAAGTGTGCTTCTGTGAAGAGGCTTACTAGGGTTCTTCAGCAAAGTTGCTTTCTGTGCTTGCTTTGCCAGGCTGCACAAAAGATTTTACTGGGGACCTAGCTATTTCTGGCACAAGCTGGAACTCCAGCAGTTGCAGAGTAGTTGTTTGTGCCGTTCCTAGTGAGAGGCGTGTGAAGTCTAACCTCAGCTGTCCCCTCTTTTGGGGTACACAGTTCTGATCTGGGGGGGTTTCTGCAGTCTGGGTGATGGCTCCCTGGGGGACCCCTTGGTACGCTCTACTGATAGAAAACCTGCCTCTTGAAGAATCAACCTTCTGTTTTTCAGAGCTGTCAGCCCTCGGACTCCTCTGATGCAACCCCTCAGTTGTCTGCAGAAGTGCTGGGCGCGCGAGGCCAGAGCCAGCCCCCCGAGAAAGAAGGCTCTGAGATCCTGGGAGGTCTGGCGCATTGCCCTGACACCCCTCGCTCCGAGTGCAGCTCCCACTCACGGAGCACCAGAGCTGATGGGAACGGACAGATGGATGTCGCCCGGAGCCCCCTGGTAGTGTTGAGGAGGTTAAGCCAGGAAATCGTCGAAAGCTCACAAGTATCCAGCATAATCGTGTCTCTGGGGAAGGGCCAGCCTGTGCCTGTGACAAGGTCAAATGAAAAGCCTTCCTCACCAGCAAAAAGTGATTCTAGTAACAAGTTGCCCAGCACTCTCGGAGAGGACTTCATCTCTTTGAGTCCCACCTTTGGCAGGGTGACTTCAGGCTCCTGGCAACTGACACCTCGGAGACTGTTCACAAGCCCCTCCAGCTCTTCTGAAGCAACAGGCCATGAACCAAAAGAGCAGCCCCTGCCCTGCACTGGCCATTCTGTGGGAGAAACTGGTTCTGGGAGCTCAGCCATGCTCTGGAAGAGCTGGACCACGGAACAGGGTGGCAGCCCCGGGAGGAGCGGTGGAGGAGCAGGTACCAAACACACCTCGCAGCCTGGGCATGCCGCCAGGGTCTGTGTTTCCACAGAGCAAGCAGAGCAGAACGAGGTGCCCGACAGCACCCCTGAGCTTTGTGTGCTGAATGCAGCAGCAGACAAGCACAAGCAGGAGGAGGCAAGAGACACAGTGCACTATTATTGGGGCATACCCTTCTGCCCCAAAGGGGTGGACCCCAACCAGTACACCAAAGTCATCTTGTGTCAGCTGGAGGTTTACCAGAAGAGCCTGAAGCAGGCTCAGAGGCAACTATTGCATAAGAAGGAGTTTGGTAACCCAGTTGTGCCCAATTCTTCCTTGAGCCAAAATGAGCTTGGGAAAGGAGAGCAGATAAGCAGGGAGAATGGGGTTGCTGATGATACAGAAGATGGAGACCCAGACGGGCAGAAGGAGTCTGAGAGCATCACCTGGCTCCTTCCTTCGAAGAGGAGGGAGGCAGAGAGTCCAGGGAACAGCATGGAAGAAGATAAGAACTCCACTTCCGATGATGAACCAACCACGAGCTACTGCCAGGTAAGAGCTTCATCACCAAGCAGAGGTTGAGCAGGCCTGCTCTTCTGTCTGTTTTAGGGTTCAGTCCCTTCTGCAAAGCAGGCACTGCTGTTTAATGCTCCTTTTAAATTGAGGGACTTCCTCCCCCAGCCACACAGCTTACTGTGAAAGGGAGAGGAAATCTGTACAGGCTGATAGCCAGCTCACAAATGGCAGGGGCAATCGTGCAGCCTGGCAGTCGTCCATTAATGCACCACAGAGAAAAAGACTTCCAGCTGACTTGTCCTTCTCAAAAGGGTGTAGCCTGGCAGCGTGTCAGGGTAGTGAGCACAGAGATGATGCTGACCACCCCTGGCTCTGGCAAACCAGCTTACAGAGCCGTGGCCGTGCGGGGAGCTCGGCGTTTTCCTTCGCAGACAGAAATGTGCCTTTTGTCCTTGCAGCACAGCCTCTCCTTTTTGCACCTACATGCTTGTCTGCGTCCGTGTCCGTACGTGCTTCACTCTTGCAGGTGCTCTTTTCCCTCGTGGTCCTGCAGTTGTGGCCGGGAGAGGCTCTGCAAGCTCGCAGGCGTCTTCTGCTTGTCCAGAGTGATCTGTCATCACGGCAGCGCTCATTGTCCTTCTGGTGGTTGGGCACCTTCTTTCCGCTTGCTTGTTGGGTCTGCTAGACACTAGGTGTCAGCCTCTGTCTCCATCAGGGCTCTCTTGTTGGAGTGGAAGGCAGCTTTCTGTCACTGCTAAGTTTAAACAGATTGCTAGTCAGATGAAGTATTTATTACTGCTGTATTTTAGGTTTGTGTCAGCCTTTTCCAACCCTCATTTTTCATAATGACTTCACTCCCGGATCATTGTATAACTTTATCTTCTCTATGACTGAAGCCTCGGCTCTGTTGTTGCTGTTTTCAAGTGTATTTGATCATTTACCCTGGTGTTAGAAAGATACTTAACTTGTTTTGTGATATTTATATTCTGTCTTGTAATATTGAACACTTAGGAAAAACGTCATGTCTGCATTTTCTGATTGCAGAAAAAGAGCAGAGCAGCCTGTGCTGAAATGTGACTTTTCCTGACAGTACTTTGGCTTGGGTTTAGCAGATACAGATTTAAACGAGCCTTAGAGGTGACCTGCAGAGGAAGGAAACCGACTTGTCCCCTTTTAGGATAGGTACAAGAGACCTGAAAGGTTCTTAAGGCAAACTGCTTTTTTCTTCTGTGACTTTTCCTTTGGAAATGATGGTGTCATTAATCTGGAAGACTGGGGTGACTACAGCTCTGTGGAGGTGTACACCAAAGCCCTTGGAAAGCTACAGCAGCTGGGAAGGGCATGAACTTTTTAATCAGTATTGAAAATTGTGGGGGGTTTTTTATATTATCTGTTTAATGCTAATACCTAATTAATTCTTGGGGAGAAAAGAGGTTGTAGTGGTGCTGAGTGGGAACTTGTAATGTGCTCATCCTGACCACAAGAGCTCTCTCAAAGAGCCACAACGTGTATGTAGGTGTAGTCTTTCTGATATTTTTAAGGTGAAAAAATAAGGAAGGAGGAACAGACTTTAAAATTTCAGCCTTAGCCCCAAATTTGCCAGTCTTTTATTTACTTGAGAGAAGATATTTTCTAAATGCCCTTTCATCTGCCTTACCACTCCCAGCCTGAGAGGTTGCTCCCTTCTCGCGCCTCCCTGTGCAGTCGCACACAGAGGCCAGCACCAGTGATTTACTTGCAAGATCGATATGTTTGATGTTTGCTTGTGCCTTGTCTCCATTTTTTTCCTTCTATCAAATACAATTCCACCAGCAGTGACAGAGAAGGGGTGCAGAGCAGTCGTGTCCCCAGTGTGCTGCATGGCTTGGAGACCGCTGCTGCCCGTACTGCCTGGGGGCTCCCCGAGTGCCACCAGGGCTGCTTTGCTGCTGGGGATGGTGGGAGATTTTAGGCTCAGCTGGGGCTAGAAGCCATCCATGGAAACCCAAAGCTGTCAGTGTGTGTGTGTTGTACCAGTGGAATGGCTCGCCCCTACTCCTGCTTTGAAACCCTCAGCTGGAGCGGGCAGAGACCAGAGACCTTCCACCGTGGCAGTGGCCAACTGCTGCAACTGCCACCCACAGCCAAGGGATGTTTGCACAAAGCAAATCCTGGTTGTCAGGAGATCTCATAGGCTGTGAACATGCACTAACAAACTTCAGTGCTAATAGAATCAATTTCTTCATAGCCTTTCAAATAAGGTTAGGAGACTCCTGGTCTTTAAAAGATTCAGAAGGAAAAGACCCAATTCTGGAGAGTTAGTCTGGTGACCTGAATTAATGCCATACCTTCTACCATATGTACTGGGAAAAACAGAAACATGGCCCAGTATTTGTGACCAGGACAGAGGCATTGTCAAACTATGCACAGTTCAGGAAAAAGAGAAATAAAAATAAAGGAGGAGATGTGGTGTTTTATGTTAATGATGAGTTAGGCTGTGAAGAAACAAAGAACAGCACAGATAAAACAGAATATTTGGGAGTCGGAGTCACTTTAGGGAAATCTGGCAGGAGGCTTTGTTTTGGGGCTTGCTGGGGAAGTACATCAGCCATCCAGGAGTGGAGCTGATCGAAGTTGAAACCTGTGGTGGAAATCAAACTCGGAGAGTTTAATAGACTCGAGGAAGGGGGAGGAAAACCCCTTGGATTTCTTTGAGAACTAGCATGTGAAATCGCAAGCCTGACAGCAAGGGCTGCTAATAAACCGTTGTAATTCCACCTGATTAGAGAATGGCAAGTGTAACGTGTACACTGAAGGAGAAGAAAGGGATATGGGTAATGACTGGCATGTTAGCCTGACCTCGGCACTGCATAAGGCTTTTGAACAAATTTTAAAGGAAAGAGTAAGTGGAGTCATAGAGCTAAATGAAAAATGGGATAAAATGCACACGGATTTACCAGCTGTGGATTGTGCAGGTTAATCTATTCCCTCTCTTTGATGGGACAGCCGATTTCTCAGTCAAGAAAAACACAACAGTTCTTATCTGTATGAAATTTTGAAAAAGTACTTTTGTGGTCAAACATCAGCTGTACCAGTTGATCATCCTGGCTCAGGCAAATAGATTTTAAAGTGGAGTAGGTCAGGGCTGCTGGGGTGGGTGCTTCAGGAAGTGTGAGGGGACACTAAAAACCTTGGATTGTTTAGGTGTTTAGCTCAGCACAAATGGAGATGGAGAAGAGCTGTGGCAGCTGCCTACAAGTCCATCAGGGTTGATGCTGGGTGTGGGTAGAGGGTGTGGAAGGTGATGGACAAGGTTGGCATGAGTGAATGGCCACGGACCGTCCAAGAACATGTCTAGGCAGCAAGGTAGCAAAACATACTGCCAGGCGTTACTGCAGGGAGCTGCTGAAACACCTTACCAAAAGGAGTGATAGGGACAAAGAGCTGACTAGTTCAGAATGGATACTTAGCTATTTCTAGACAAAAAAATACATAACAGATTGGGTGCAATGCCATGGACAGAATCTGATGACCCAGCAGATCCTGGTTAGCTGTGTACGTTGTTTCATATAACATCAGAATTTTCCTTTCCAGGCCTCCCAGGTGCTGCCTGCAGAGGATGTGCCTGAAGATGGGGAGCCCATGCAAATTGCACAGAGGTGAGGAGTTGGTCTGGGAGCGTGGGGCCCATGGGCTCGCTCTGGTGATGTGGGCTCTTTCAGTCTCCTTGGAGCATTTTGGGGTGCAGTTTCACTGGGGCTCGCTGCGGGGCCTGGCAGCAAGGCTTGCTGGAAAGGCCACAAGGCTGTTAGGTATCCCTGGAAATGTATGGCTTTGGAGAGAGGTGGGACACAACTGGGGAGAAGAGATAGTTACTCTTGTTGCTTTATGAAATGTGCAGGGTGCATTGTAGAACAAGTACAAGGACTTGATCCTTGCCCTCCGCAGCTGATGTGACACGGTGCGGTAAAGCTGTGGAGATGGGTAGGTGAGCTGAAGGTGAGTTACAGCGATGTCATCACGTGGTCTGTCTGGGAGGGTGCTTAGGCAGCATGGTGAAGGGTTTACTGGATTTCTGTGTGTATTTTTATGTTCTTGTCTTACTGCTGAAGAGGAAAGAAGGGAGGAGGAAGCCAGACGGCACTGCCTATCAGCCAAAGATAGAGTGCAGTGCTCCAGAAAAGCCACTTCAGCAGATGACAGGTGTGGGACAAGTCAACATGATTTTCTTCAGATTTAAGCCTACTCCTCTTTTCCTTTTTTTTTTTCCCTTTTCCTTCCTGTGGGATACAATTCTGCAGTGAAGGCTCTGGGAGAAGAAGGGCAAATGGGAGAGGATTCAAGGAGCAAGTTACAAGAGAGGGCAGATAATGTCATGTTTTTAATTTGCTGGATTTTATAGTTTAAACATGCTTTGGAACAAAACTGCCAACTTTCCTCTGATCTAACAGCATTTGGCTTGAGCAGTTAGTATCAATATGCAGAGTATGGAAATCCCTCTTGCTTGCACCTTTCTAACAAGCTTAAAGCTCACCTTGGGGAGCAGGAGGAACCTGCGGCTGCCGAGGCTGACGAGCCTGTGACAGCTGAGATCTGAGCTTGTGTGTTTGCACAGAAGGCACCAAGGTGCTGCTCTGCAGCGCTGGCCTCACGCCTGCTTAAGGCAAAGAGGCCGGGGCTGAATGGTCCCAGAGCGGCACCTCTTTCCTTTCATGAAGCTGATGGGGTGAGTTTGGGACATTCCCCAAGCCCTCCTGGCTGCTCACCTTGGGGTTGAGACACACCTGGGTGCTGCGGCCCCTCCTTGAGCAGCTGGCACATCTGCAGCGAGGCAAGAAATGGCTGCGGCCGTGGCAGGTTTGTGCACATTAAGTGTTGCCATCTGGCTGCTGGTAATTTGCCAGCACGGTGCTCTCTGGGGTGAGGCTCAGGCACCCTGGCCAGCCTCAGCAGCACTTTGTAGAGGAACACGGCTCTGAGCTGTCAGGAGGTAGCAGAGCAGTTTTGGAAGCAGCAGCAGCAGTGAGAAGAGGCTGCATCGCTTTCTGCGGGCCCCTCTGCCTGATGGTTTTCTGCTTTGTGTGGAGCACGATAGATTGGGGTTTTAATAAATGATTATAGGCTTTGTTACCAGGAGATAGTTGGTGTAGGAAGAAATGTGGTTTGACTTAAAATTGATTAGCCCATTTTATAAATGTCATAGCAAGTTGTTTTGTGTGAGTTCTTTTGAAGTGAGCCCTGATGTTAGACACAGAGTAAAACATGCTCAGCCTGGATTCATAACAAATGCTTTGAGATGCTTTATTTAGAGAGAAAAGCCACTTGTGATTTCCTATCAGAATTTTGTTATTTATCATAAATCAGCAGTGGCTGTTCTTTCCTCTCTAAGGCCTGTGGTTGAGCTTAATAAATCTTCTGTTTGTCGGTATGGGGATTCATGTTTTTAAAGTGTGTTCTTGCATACTTGATCAGACTAATCAGAAAGCCACGCAAAGCGCGGAGCATGTCAGCATGGGTGCCAGACTGGCTCAGCAATGCCTGCCTGTTTCAGAAAGACACTGCACAGTGTGAGGGGAGAGGAAAAAAGGAGGAATCCGAAGGTCAAAATGAGAGGAGCAGTACCTGGTGTTGCTCAGAGGAACCACCACGCTAATGTTGTTAGGACTTTGCTGCAGGGAAGCCTTGCCTTGTCTTACATCCGTGCTGCTTCTGGCTGCCTTGCACAGCAATAAAGAAGGAAATTAGCAGTGTGAGGTGGGAGAGGGTAATGCAGGATAAAACACGTCTGTGTCTCTCCTCTCTGAGGATTTCTTTCCTCAGATGGGAAGAAGGACAGGGCTGGTACCTGCACAGCTCCCAGATCTTCTAAGAGCAGAAAGAATCAAGAGTTGTGAGCGGGTATTTTTGCTCCCCTGACATGAGGCACTGATCCTTTGTGCCTTTTTATCAAGGGCTTCTGGAAAAAAAAAAAGGTTCCCTCTGGGTTTTTTTGCTTAGGGCACCATTTTATACCCATATTTTGCTGTTATTCTGGTAATTTCTGGCTATCAGATATTGACCACTTGGAAATTACAGCATCATCTGCTGTTCAGAACTGCGTGAGAAGGCAGGTGCATGCTATCACACCTTCTGGATTGGAGATTTATATTGTATTTATATTTTGAGCAGCATCTCTGTGTTGACCCCACTTGGCAGTAAAAGGAGCCCAGATACTGCTACAGAAAACTCTGCTGAAGAGGAGATCTCTGTTTGCCCAGGTAAGAGGCACTTGAGAATGTTCTGAATTTTGCACCGAAAGTTACACACTTATAAAATTCAGAGAAAAGAAGAGAATTTTTGAATTACTTGAAGAAGATGAGGGATTTTTTTCCCAGCTCTGTTTGTCAGGGCTGAAGTTATCCAGGTAATTTAGTTTGATTCCCTGGTTTTAGACCCTTTTTCTCTAAGACAGTTCTGTAACCAGTGATTGCTGGGGACTTACTGCTGAAGAGACACCAGGATCTACATTGGTCCCAGGAGATCATTCAAGACAAGGTGTCAGGATTGGTCTCGTCAAGGCAATCAAGAAATCTTCATATTTTTTCAGTGTCAAGATGCGTGTAAAGCATGAGAGCTGAAGTAATTTTTGTCTTACGTTAATTAAATGTGTTTGGGACCAATGAGTTTTTCATCTACTGGTCTCTCCTACCATGTTTGAGATTTTCTAGTTCAGAGTTTTAAATGAAAAAAATTAATGGAGAGGCTGCTCCTGTTCACAAGCAGCTGTAGAGAGACAGGTCATGATGGTGCTTGGAGGCATATTTTGTTGCTAAGGAAGACGTGGAGGTCTAAAGAAGGTGCGACTGTGAGGCAGACCACAGAATGGGAGCTCTGTTTGTCTCAGTGCCAGGGAGAGCTCTATTCTTGCTTTGTCTCTATCCCAGCAAGTGTCCCACACACTTTCCCTGTCTAGTCTCACTCCCCATGAAGCCGCAAAGCTGTGGTGGCTTTGTCCTCACACCACCGTGCTGCGACTTTTAACCCCTCATCCGGCTGCGTTGTTACACGTTGTCTGATAACATTTGTGGCGAGTCTAAAAAATGTTTTGAAACTGTGAAAACACTGTAAAGAAATGGGCTAAGATACATCAACGAGCGAGGAGATTGTTTGGGGGCTGCAAACCTGCCCTGACACAGAGGTGTTTTTCTGCAGAGACCCAGCCGAGTCCACTGGAAGCTATTGAGGCGGAGAGAGAAGAGCTCTGCTCGGGCAGCAGAGATGCGCCTATGCAGGTAAATGAGTCTGAGGTTGGGGAAGGGTCCTGTTTCTGGTCCTGCCTTCTGGACCTTAGTCCAGCTGGGCTGTGTTAGTGTTTTTCCCTTGGGTTAGCTGGGAGCTTGGGCTTCTGCTGTTGGGATCCTCACGAACACTTCCCTCTTCACTTTTCTACACTCCTTCATAACTCCAGTCCCTTTTGGCTAATGGCTGTGTGCAGCTGCCTCTGGAGCCTTTCAGTCCTGTAGCTGGAGTGTTGTTATCGATTCCAGCTTGCTCTTTTATACCGCACGCCCTGCTGTGCTGGAGGATGCCGTCAGCGTGGATGGCAGCGCTGTCGCTTGCCCAGGCTCAGATGTATAGTGCTGTGATGGTCAGCAGTGCAGAGGGATCCCCGGAGCTGTGAGGGAGTCCTAGTAAACCTCAGTCACTCGTGTTGTGACACACTGTAATCTGTTAGTCCTCTGGACTTTAGTGTTTGTTCTCCACAGACCATTTCCAGGAGGCTGAGAGGCGAGGTTCACCCAGAGAGACCGGGCTGGGATAAAGATGACATTGAAGTATTGAGGGCTGGTGGTGTTTTGCAGTCCAAGGAGAGTGACCTGAGCCTGGGAATCTTGATTTTAGCACAGTAATAGTTAATAGCAATAGTATTAGTAATAGTTAATAGCAGGGCCATCCTCTTACCTCCCGGTGCAGATGTGCGCTGTTGTGCGGCTCCTTTCCCCGCGTTGTCACACCTGCGCAGCAATTGCTTTGCAGCTGTCGCTGCGCCGACATCTGACTTCAGTTCCTGCGTCTGATAAAACTCCCTTTGTCTATTAATTTAGAGAGTGATATCAAAGGGGTTGCCAAGTACTCCTCTGGCAGGGTACATGAATACAGAATCGTACAGCTCTTGACAAGAGGATTCATTTGTGGAAAGCTCATTCTGGGAGTCTGCAGCTTGTACAGCACGTCTGCAGCTCCGATGTCTCATTGTCACAGGCCTCTTAATAAACCAGATTCTGCAGGTATCTCAAAGCGCTGCTCAGTCAATTAGAGACTGCAGCAGGGAGAGGCAGCGGTCCTGTGCTGAGCCGGGTGGCCACAGCCACTGAGGCACGTTCATGACCCATTTGGCTGTGACCAGGACGCTGCCCTGTCCCTCATGCTTTGCAGAAGGTGCCCTGGGTCTCACACCTCCGCCCAGGCAGCACAAGGTGATCAGCACAGGGTTTGGGAGAGGTGCAGTGGGGCTTCCTGAGGATTGTTTGACAACATTATTATTGTCAGCAGGTACTGGTCCAGAGCCTGCAGCCCTCCAGGAAGACTGCAGAAACAGCTACCATGTGCATCAGTGGTTAGCATGAAGCCAGCGTGTACCGCTGGGACTGACTTCTTCCTCGCAGATGCTGAGCCAGGACACAGGAGTCTTGTTGTTGAGCTCAGCCTCTAGCGTTGCTCTTGGCTGGCTCTTGGCTGCAAGTACTATGTCTTGTAGGCAATTTCCTCTGCTAAAGAGGAGAGGAAACAGTCTCTGCCTCTGACAGGGGTGATTGGTTCTGCAGTTGAGGTTTTCCAGACTGTTACAGCAAGGTTTTGTACAAGCAGTTTTGGGACCATGGTGTCTTTTGTTATAGGATGTTGCATTTCCATTTAAAATTAGTAATTTACCACTGAATGTAGGTGGGTGGGGTGTGCAGAATCAGTGATCTCCTAAGGTTGCTTTAAAAATGGCAGCTAGAAGGAGCAGTACCTTCTGCTTTTCCCATCCGATTTTCTACGTGTGTTGTCTGACCAGGATAACGCAGGTTTGATCTGATCAGTCATATTTGACACATCTTGTTTTTTATGACTCTTCTGTGTGATGCCCCACAGTGAGGACTTCACAAGATACAGTGACACTGAGATGTGAGAGCAGGGTACAAGTGCTAATGCTGTAAGTGATGTACTTCAACAGCCCGTGTTTGGCTGGAGGAACTCTTGTGGCAACTCCTCTGCAAAAATCCAGGGCAGAGAGCCTCCCTGGAAATGAGAGAGGTGTTCCTGGGGCTCAGTGCCATAGCCTTCCAGCCAGTGTCTGGGAGAAATGTGTTTTGTGAGTCAGATTCTTGATTTAAGGCCCAGTCCTGCAATTTTTTGCGTAGCTCCTCTGAGACAACAAAGCACCCTCCTTCCCTTTAGGACCTAAAACTCAGGATCACATCCTCATTTGGAAAAGCAAGTAATAAACTAAATAATACGACAAAGTGCTCCAGAGGCACTGAGCATCTTGGCTGACCCCAATTACTGCTTCCCTGAAATTATACCATTGGAGGGAAGCAGACAGCAGTTTTGCTGCTTACTGTCTACATGTCACTGCTTAGCCCTAAGAACAGAAAACTCTCCTATATGATTTTCCTATAGGTTTCTTCTACATGGTTAATGTTTAAATAATTTTTTTTTAATCATTGCAGGGTCAGGCAGGAGGGAAGGTTCTTTAAGTGTGGGGAAATGTTGTAGCAAGCCTGACTAGGCAGAGATCTAGTTATGAGCGAGATTGCGGTGGTCTGCTGCGTCCTGGGAGCACTAGTAGTGTAGGGAGCAGGCTGTTTCTCCACGGGTGTGTGGTGGAGTTGTGTTTACCAGTGCAAAAAAGGGAGTATTGGTAAGTGGTAATGGCACCTGGAGAACAAACACAGGCTGTGACATTTTGCTGTGGCGAAAAGCCACGCTAGTAATTTTGCGTGACATGGATTTTTAATGGCATTGCCTCTTTCCTTGATCTGTCTCCCCTCTGATGACTGCTCCAGTGACCTCCTCTAGAGAGGAGGAGCTTCCCAGTGATCTCTCTGGACTCCCTAAGTGCACAGCAGGCTCCTTTCATCCTAGGAGAAGCTGTGTTCCCAGACAGTGCTGCCTGTGTTGCGTGGATCATGTCCAGAAACTGATGAGCACAAGTCAGGTGTTGAACTCTTGCTTTGCCCCACGAATTTTCCATCAGTTTCGCTTCTGAGCTTTCCTGATTAATGGAAGCTTTGCCATTTTTCCGCGGTAGTACAGGTGATGTTTGCCTTAAATGGTGTGCACGG